CTGGCTTGCACATGTTGTGCACCCCGTCGCACCGCGTGGCCCTCTGTGGGCTCCTTGTCCTTCACCCCGGTGCTGTGAGGGGCAGCGAGGCTTTAGGGTGGTGGGATCAGGGTGGGGGGCTGATGTGCAGGATCTCTCCTTCTGCCTGGAGCCGGGTGGCTGCTGGCCTGCCTGAGCAGCAGATGGTGGCTGCCTGGGGACTCGCCATCCGTCCCTCTGGGTGATTATTCACCCGTCGCCATGACAATGGAAAGGTCAGCGAAAAGATCCCGTGTGATTCCCAGGTCAGGGCGGTGGGATTAGGAGTAGCACGGAAGGGAGGGCCAGGGGGAGGACAGGGCCCAGCCAGGCCCCCCGCATCTCTTTTTCTGGACTGTCCCCCTTGTGCACTGTCCCCAGAACCTGGCCAGATGAGAACTGATAAACTCTGGGCATCAGCGGGAAATCTCACTGATCCTCGGAGCTCAGCCCTGCCTCTGCGGGTCCCATCCTGTGTGGGGAGGGCCTGGAGCTGTGTGTGGGCTGAAGGGGCTGGGCTGGCATCGGCGGGGAGCAGAGGAGAGATGGCGCTGTGCTGATGTGGGCTGGGCTGGTCCTGCATCCTTCCTCCTCCTCCTCGCAGCAGTGTGTCTCACCTAGCCAGGTGCTCCTGGCTGACCTGTGTCCCCTCTCTCTCTCCAGGCTGTTCCTCTAAGTCATTCAAGCTGTACTCGCCAAAGGAGCCCCCGAACGGCAACGCCTTCCCCCCCTTCCACCCGGGCACCATGCTGGATCGAGATGTGGGGTGAGCTGGGGCCTGGGGAGGGGTCTGCAAGGTTGGAGTGCTCCACAGTCTGCGCCCCAGGGGCTCTCTGTTGTGTTCCCCAGCAGCACGTGGAGTCTGCGGTGCATGGAGCTGAGTTAGTGCAAGGGGAGAGAGGGGACTGGAGCAGGCATGGGTGAGATGGGGTGGAGAAAGGGCAATATTTGGGATGGAGGGAGCCCCCAGGTCCCTGAGCTATGTGGGTCCAAGCCTCTGGGATGACCCACGACAGGGAGCGCTCCCAGCTCCTGGCGAAACAGCCCTTCTCCAACCTCCGTCCTGCCTGGCACCAGCCCCAGCTGCAGAGGAGCCGGGGACGTCTCCAGAGAGCCACTGACCGGGTCCCAGGGGTGGTGGAGCAGCTGCCGGTGCAGGAGCAGGGCCCAGTGTTGAGGTGCAGGTCACCCCATGGGGCCATTGTCAGGCAGGCAGGCCACACTGTGCGTGGGGTCTCACCTCCAGTGAGCCCAACAACCTGCTGCTGACAGCAGCGAAGGGGGAGCTATGATGGGCAGGAAGGGGGATCCCCACCAACACTGACCTGCCTGTGTTTCTTTGCCCCCCCAGACCTACTCCCATGTACCCACCGACATACCTGGAGCCTGGAATCGGGTAAGCGTGGGGGTCTGGTGGGGACCCTGCTGGGAGGGGAGCTCCTGCCTGTGGTGGGGACGCCTCAGCAGGGCTGGCACGCTGCTGGCCGCAGGTGTTTGCAGGGGGGTTGCTTGGTATCTGCTCAGCCCTGGAGGGGTTTTGTGTCCCCCACCATGGCTTGGAACCTCTCCCACCCTGTGGCTGCCTCCCCCTCTGACCTCCGCCTCTGCTTTCTGTGCAGGAGGCACACACCGTATGGGAACCAGACCGACTACAGGATATTTGAGCTCAACAAGCGGCTGCAGAACTGGACAGAGGTGGGGAGCTGGGGGAGAGAGGCGTGGACAGGGATGGGGGGACACTCCCAGGTATGCATTTTGGGGATGCACTGCCTTGGTTTTAGGAGGGCCCACTTGGCACCGGGGTCCTGTCCTGCTCTGCAGGTCCCCAAGCACCTTGTGCCTCCCTTGGCCATGGGACAGGGTTCATCATCCTGTCTCTGAGCACTCAGCCGGGAGGACAGCCCTCCACTGTCTGAGTGCGTGGCTGCTCTGCCTGGCTGCCAGTGGCTGTCTGGCTGTCTCCCCTCCCCTTAAACTGGCATCTCTCCACTCTCCTCAGGAATGTGACAATCTGTGGTGGGACGCCTTCACCACGGAGTTCTTTGAGGATGACGCCATGTTAACAATCACTTTCTGCTTGGAGGATGGACCAAAGAGATACAGTGAGTATCAGCCTAAGCCCTCCTTCCCCAGGGCATTGCCTCTCTGGCAGGAGATGTGGCGCTTGTGCTGTGGCGGGGGGTTGTGGGCAGGGTGTCAGAGCTCAGCTGCCTCCAGCCAGGGGGAACTGTGGAACCCTCTCCCTGTGCAGCCCCCAGGCACGTCTGGGTGAGCCAGGTTTGCTGACATTATCTTCCTTCTTCTCCCGCTCCAGCGATTGGCCGGACTCTGATTCCCCGTTACTTCCGCAGCATCTTTGAAGGGGGGGCCACAGAGCTCTACTATGTGCTCAAGCACCCCAAGGAGTCCTTCCACAACAACTTCGTCTCACTGGATTGTGACCAGTGCACCATGGTCACCCAGCACGGCAAGCCCATGTTCACCCAGGTACTGGCTGCGCCTGCAGCTTCTCCTGCCCCTCGTGCCTTGGTCCAGTGTCCCTTTGCGGTGGCTGTGGTCCCACGGGGCTGTCATGGGTTTGGCTTCTGCCGAGCTTCATGGCAGGCAGGGGCAAGCCTGGAGGGTGTCCCAGTGTGCAGCGGTGGGTTTCCCAGGGGATCTGGGCTGGGAGAAGTGGGGGCAGCCTGTACCTGACCCTGCGCCCTGCTCAGGTGTGTGTGGAGGGGCGGCTCTACCTGGAGTTCATGTTCGACGACATGATGAGGATAAAGACGTGGCATTTCAGCATCCGCCAGCATCGAGAGCTCATCCCCCGCAGCATCCTTGCCATGCATGTGAGTACCAGTCCAGGAGCTTCCCCAAGACATGAGTGACACAGGGCTGCTGAGCTCCTCTCCCAGCTCTGCTGCTGGAGGGGACCTCCACCCTGTTCCCCCCCCATTGCAGGCTGGGGCACAGGAGGGCTGTCCCCAGGTGGGATGCAGATGAGCCATCTGTCCCTCTCGCTCCTAGGCACAGGACCCCCAGATGCTGGACCAGCTATCCAAGAACATCACCCGCTGTGGGCTCTCAAACTCCACACTCAACTACCTCCGAGTACGCATGGGGAGAGAGCAGGGGGAGGTGGAGCTCTGCTCCCGGGAGGTTGGGACTCGCGTGACCATGTCTTGTGCTGTCTTGTGCTCTCAGTCTTGTGCTGTCTTGTGCTCTCAGCTGCCCGACTCCTGTCTGCCCTGGGGTGCGGGGAGGCAGCAGGGCAAGCTCTGCAAGAGGGATCTTGCAGATGGGCTGCAGAGAACCCTGGGGTGGATCTGCTGGAGCCCGCAGGTTCCCAGCACAGCTTGGGTCGGTGCAAGGCAGATGGCTGCATGACAGAGGTGCTTTTGCTGGGACCTGGAGCATCACGTTCTAACCCCATGTCCCTCTGCTCCCTGTAGCTCTGTGTAATCCTAGAACCAATGCAGGAGCTCATGTCACGGCACAAGACCTACAGCCTCAGTCCCCGGGACTGCCTCAAGACTTGCCTCTTCCAGAAGTGGCAGCGGATGGTCGCTCCGCCTGGTGAGCCTCTTGCTGCCTGCTCCGGCCCTGCCCTTGGCGCAGGCTTCTCCCAGCCCCAGAGCCTGTTCCCGGCCTTGTCTTGTGAGGCTGGGGGGGGGCAAGTCAGACAGCTGGTTTCACTTCTCTGCTGGCCTGCCTCCCCACGGGGGCTGCCGGGCTGTGCAAGGCAAAGCAGGGAAGGAAATCTTCCCTGCACCCTCTCCTGTCCCCTGCACTGGGGACACCGTGCAGCTGCAGAGGGTGGGAGGGCGGTGATGCTGCTCTGGGTTGAGGGGGAAGTGGTCCTTGCAGGGGGGTTGCAGAGAAAGGGCTGGGGGGCACCTGCTCCTC